TCCATCCTTGTTGCTGCAAATGGCATTATTTCATTCCTTTTTATGGCTGAGGAGTATTCCACTGTATACATGTACCACAGCTTCTTTATCCCTTCATCTGTTGATGGACATTTAGGCTGTTTCCATGTTTTGGCTCTTGTGAATAGTGCTGCTGTGAACATAGGGGTGCATGGATCTTTTTGAATTATAGTTTTGTCTGGGTATATTCCCAGGAGTGGGATTGCTGGCTCATATGATAATTCTAGTTTTAGTCTTCTGAGGAACCTCCATACTGTTTTCCATAGTGGCTGTACAGACTTACATTCCCACCAATAGTGTAGGAGGGTTCCCTTTTCTCCACACCCTCTCCAGCACTTGGTATCTGTAGACTTTTTAATAATGGCCATTCTGACTGGTGTGAGGTGGTACCTCATTGCAGTTTTGATTTGCTCTCTAATAATTAGTGGTGCTGAGCATCTTTTCATGTGCTTACTGGCCATCTGTATGTCTTCTTTGGAGAAATTTCTATTAAGGTCTTCTGCCCATTTTTCAATTGGGTTGAGTTGTTTGTTTTTTTGTTGTTGAGTTGTATGAACTGTTTGTATATTCTGAAGATTAAGCCTTTGTCTGTCGCATCATTTGCAGCTATCTTCTCCCATTCCGTAGGCTGTCTTTTAGTTTATTTATTTTTATTTTTTTAATGGTTTCCTTTGCTGTGCAAAACTTGTAAGTTTGATTAGGTCCAATCTGTTTATTTTCATTTTTATTTCTATTGCCTTGGGAGACTGACCTAAGAAAACGTTGGTACAATTTATGTCAGAGAATGTTTTGCCTATGCTCTCTTATAGTTTTATGCTGTCATGTCTTATGTTTAAGTCTTTAAGCCATTTTGAGTTTATTTTTGTGCATGGTGTGAGGGTGTGTACCAACCACATTTGAATATCAGTTGGGGCTATACTGTTGTAGAATTTAATATACTGTATTATTCTATTAACAACACATTATAGCATCTCCCCATCACGAAAAAGTAAAAGTGTTATTGTTTTGGTAAACATTTCATGTTTGGCTATACTGTAGTTTAATCACAGCTGGTAATAGGCCTTTGTGCAGAGGCCTGGGGTTGGGCTTTGGAGAGCTGGAGGGATGCAGGGGCTGGGAGGCCTGCGCTAAAAGGACAGAAGGAAAGTTATACCAATAATCCGTCAGATATTTGCTTGTCTGCTTGTTTATTCCTGCCTCGATATTTGAGGGCTCTGCTGGGCACCAGGCTCCCCTCCCTGTTCTCCTGTCAATGCCTGCTTCAGTTTGTTAACATCACCCCCTCAAAGAGCCTTCCACCACCCCCAGACCCCATCAAGCCCCTGCAACAGTGAACTTTCGAGGGAGGGGCTTCATTGCATGCACGACTGGCAGAGCTGAGCCCAGACTGGCACTTAGTAGGTGCTCAGAAACATCTGGAGACTGAAGGAGTGAGTGAACACGAAGAGTAACAAGAACAATAATAATAGCCAACGTATTGTCAATTTTGTACTATTATAATGCGATGAACATCTTTGTGATGAAAGCTTTGCTAAAATTTTATATTTCCTATACTTGGGATTCTAGGGTTGAAGAATATGGGTATTTTGATGATTCTTAATGTATACTGCCAGATTGCTTTCCAGAAATTCTGTATCTGTTATACTCTCAGAAGCAGTATGTGAGAGTATCTGTCTCTCTGGTTTTAAGTAACATAACTTAAAAAACGATTTGCTGATTTGATGAAAGTGAGGGCAGGAACGGTATCTCATTGATTTAATGGACAGTTTTTTTTTTTTTTTTTTCTTCTGGTAAGACTGAACTTTTAAAAAATAATTTATTTATTTTTTTTGGCTGTGTTGGGTCTTCGTTGCTGCACACGGGCTTTCTCTAGTTGCGGTGAGCGGGGGCTACTCTTTGTTGCAGTGCGTGGGCTTCTCATTGCAATGGCTTCTCTTGTTGCGGAGCATGGGCTCTAGGCGCCCGGGCTTTGGTAGTTGTGGCTCGTGGGGTCTAGAGCGCAGGCTCAGTAGTTGTGGCACATGGGCTCAGTAGTTGTGGATCGTGGGCCCTAGAGCGCAGGCTCAGTAGTTGTGGTGCACAGGCTTAGTTGCTCCGTGGCACGTGGGATCTTCCCGGACCAGGGCTCGAACCCATGTCCCTTGTACTGGGAGGCAGATTCTTAACCACTGCGCCACCAGGGAAGCCCAAGACCGAACTTTTAATACCTGTGTATTGATCATTTGAATTTCCAATTTTGTGAACTGTCCATCTGTGCCATTTGCCCATTTATTTGTAGAAATCTTAATGTTTTTCTTATGAATTGTGAGTTCTGTTTTATTTTCAAAGATATTTCTTTAGTTTCTTACACTTCAATTTTTTATGTCAACTTTCTTTTCAAAACGGAAATAATTTTTTTCCTGATGGTGAAAACAATGGACTATCCTGGTAAAAAGTAAGACACTAGAGAAAACCATAAAGAAGAAAGTAAAAATCGCTTACATTCCTACCCTTTGGCCTATACTAACATTTTTTGAGCATTTCCTGCCAAACTTTTATCCTGTGTGTTGACGGTATTTTTTGAGGTTTAAAAAAATTGAATTTTTGCGTACCCTCAAACAAGCTTTTTTTTAAGTCAATGTTTCCTCCAATGGTTTTGTACTTTAAAAAGTCTTTCCAATCTAGAGATCGGATAAAGAATTATCTTTTTTAAAGATAAGATCTGTGCGTATTTTTTAGTTATGAAGGCAACATAGCATATTACAGAATATTTAGGAAATTAAGGGGAAAAAAAATCAGCCATCATGCCTTGATTGTAGCACATCTATTTCCTTGTGCATGGTTCTTTCGAGTCTCTTATCATGAGCACTTACTTTTATGTTGTTGCAAGGAGAGTGCATGCACGATTTCCTATCTTCTCCTTTTCACTCATAATTATACTTAAGCATTATTTTCATGTTGCTACACAATCTCTGTAATTGTTTAAAATGATCCTCTAATGGTCTCTCTGGTCGCTGTGCTGTGTAGCTAACCCTATCCTGCTGATAACCATTTAAGTTGCCTCCAATTTTTCTGTCAAGTGGTATTTTGAAACACCAAAGTCCAGTGAAGCAGAATCTCCCACTGTTCCCTGGAGGCTGACTGTAATATGATTCGACTTCTGCTCATTTCCTCCTTTCCTCAGAGGAGGACTGGAAGAAATCGCTCTTAGAGAATGGTTAGAAAAATGCCAAACATAAAATTAGGAGGAGAGGGACCATGAGGTGAAAGCTTGATGAGCTTTTAGGAGAAAGCTGCCTTAGAAACTGCACTGTTTAGGTTTTGTCCTTGTAACTCAGGAATCGGGCATGAGTTTATTATGATAATAGTTTTGACAAAATGCCTTCCCCTCATGCAGTGCTTGGTGCTTTTCCTGGTATGCAGTTCTGTGTATCAGCTGAGGGTCTTAGTGCTGGAGGGCCTGGGTCTGAATCTCTGCTTATCTCTTTGACCTTCAGCAGCTGCAGAGCCTCAGTCTGTCTTTCTGCAAAAAGGAATAATAATAGGCCCGGAGGACTGAAGTCCTGAGCACTCTTGGAGAAATACCAGCGGAGTAGCCAGAGAGGTTGCAGAGGAGCCTTCTCGGGGACCACAGGCCAAACCTTTTTTTCCTGGGCCTCGGTTTCTCCATGAGTATGGCAGGCTTGGTGTATGGTCTGCAAGAGCCTTTCCTGCTCCTCCCAGAAGCCTCCAGGGGACCCCTGCCCTGGCTCCTGCCTGGGTGCTGGACATGTCCAGTCGTCTTCAACAGGGCCTCCAGGACTCCTCTCAGCGCTCAACTCAGCCCACAATTCCTGGGACACGCCCTGACTTCCAGGGCAGCAAAGTGCTGTGGCATCCTTCCAAGCCCCTGACATGATTTTGGGGAGGGGTGTGGGTGGGATCAGTAAACCCAATGCATATTTATTAATTTTGAACAAGTGTCATCGGTCTGTTGGCAAAGGTGTCATCGGTCGGTTAGCAATAACCTTATCTTCTCTTTGAATAATAATTACTCATTTTTCTTCCAGCAGGGCATAGGAGACCACCCAGTGTATAGTGGTTGGAGAGCCTGGGATGTGGAGTCAGAGGTCCGGCTCCAGGCCTCTCTGTGCCTCGCTTGCAGAACGGGAGAACTACTAGCACCTACTTCATCGGGCTGTCCTGGACACGGACCGAGATAATGCCTGTCGATGAGGCACGTAGCAGAGTTCCAGGCACACAGGAAGGCTCAGTACTGTTAGGCTGCTGTTATTATAAGAATTATCCGCAAATTAGAAAACCGAGCGCCTGGTTGGCAAGGGACTAGGCAAGGGGGACAGTTCACAGGTGGCGCCCTGAGAACCCAGGTCGAGAACGGTGAACCTAGGGGCCAGGAGGAGGCCGAGCGTCGAGAGGGGGGGGGTCAGAGGTGAGCCCCGGGAAGGAGAGGCGGCTCCGGCTGGGCTGCGCGCTCCAGACCGGGCTCCCTGATCGCCACACACTTTATCTTTGATTTTTGAAAGCACCCTTCTCCTCCATCTGGCCTCCTTTCAGGGGCTGCAGAAAGGAAAGACGGCCCGCGGCGGTGCCGGACCCAGGCCTGTCGTATTCGTCCCAGCCCCGGGGCGGTGTCATCGGAGGGTCCCGGGTGTCCCGCTCGCCACCTCAGCTGCGGCGACGGTGGGCGCCGCTCCCTCCTCGCCGGCCGAGCGGTTCCGGCGCCCGGGTGGCCCTTTAAAAGGCCGTGTCTTGTCCGGAGGGGGCGGGCTGGGGGCGCTGACCGCCGCCTGAGGCCCGGCCCCTCCTCCCTCCCCCTCCCTCCCCCTCCCTCCGCCTGTCCGTCCCTCCCACGGTCCCCGTGTCGCTCGCTAGCTCCCTTGCCGGGCGCACGCTCCGCCTCCGCCAGTCGGCTCGGCGGTCTAGTGCGCGGCGTGGAGCGGGAGCCCGGGCCGGACGCGCGGCCGGGGGCCGGGGCTGGGGGCTGGGTAGATCGGCGCCAGCCACCGGTCAAGCCTGAGCCGCAATGGCTGAGATGGGCAGCAAGGGGGTGACGGCGGGGAAGATCGCCAGCAACGTGCAGAAGAAGCTCACTCGCGCGCAGGAGAAGGTGAGCGAGCCCGAGCCCCTGCAGCCGCGCCGTCCGGACACCTGTCCCCCACCCCTGCGCCGGGGGCTGGTCCTGGCCCCGGGCCGGGCGCTGTCACCTCCAGACGAGCTCTGCCGAGGGCCTTCGGGGGTCCACAGGCTGCGCCCCCCGGCGCTCTGGGTGCCTTCTGCCGTCCGCGTCCTCCGTCTCCTCTCACCCCTGGCGGGGTGCAGGAGAGGGCGCAGCTGTCCCTTCACCGCCCGCCCCCCCCCCCCCCCCCCCCCCCCCCCCCCCGCTCTTCTCCGGGCGCGAGGTCCAGGCTAACCCCACCCTGGAGGCCGAGGCCCAGAGGCTGGGAGGCGAGGTAGCGCCCCTAGCCCTCCGGGACCACTTGAGCCCTGCGGGCGGGGCCGGCGCTGGGGCGAGGGGGGTCTGCCCCTTGTCCCCAGGGTCGCTTAGTTCCGGGAATCCCGAGGCTGCCCCTCAGCTCGCGGGTGCCTGCGCGCCTACTCCAGGCCTCTGAGCGCTTCCTGCGCTCGCCGTTCCCTCCTCTCCACCCGCCGCTCCACCTTCTGTCCCCGTGGGCCGAGGGAGGGGTCAGGTTTCCCTTCCCGAGAGGTGCCTGCGGCCTGGAAGCTCCGGCCCGGCTCCCAGGGAGGAGAGAGCTGCGCACCCTCGAGAGGTGCCCTCGCCGGAGCAGGGGCTTCGTGTTTCCGGCCGCGGGGGGAGAGGGTGGCGGCTCTGGCTTTGGGAGCCCGCAGCCGGGGTGGGGAGCCGGCCCGGAGGAGGGACGGCAAGCCGCCGGAGGTGTGGAGGGCCCCGCAGGAAACCCGACCCCTCGGCGCGGAGAGCCACTGTTTGCAGCCGGGGCTTCCCGTGGCCCTCGGACTGTGCAGGAAACGCGGGATTGGGCGGCAGGGATCCGCGCCCGCCCGGCTTGCTATCCCTAGCCGCCTCTGGTTTATTGAATTGGATCACGCCAGCTGCTGACGCCACTTCCCCTGCCGACTCCAACTCTGAAATCTGCGATTGCAGAATCAGTGCTGCTGCCAGGGTGGCCCCCCAGTGCTCCCCTGACCGGCTCTCTCCCCTCTGCCGCCCGATCCCGGAGACCGGCCGGCCTTCCCCCGCCAGGCTTGTGGCTCTTTATAAACAATGACTTTTGCAGCCGAGACCTGCGGGCTCCCTAAGGATGCAGCCACGTGACAGTGGGGGTGGGGGTCGGGGTGAGAGCGACGGCGGCCTCTGGAGCTTTCCCCGCGCTTCCCTCCGAGTCCTGCAGCTCATCCTTGCGGTCCCGGGCTAAGGAGGTGGGTGGGTGGTGTAGAGGGAAGGGCCCTCAGCCAGACTCCAGATCTGGCCTGTCCCAGCTGTCCTCCTCCTCTCCCCAGGGCGGGACGAGGGATTAGAGTACCACAGATAGCTGGCTGGGGGCTGGGAAGGCTTCAGTCGCCCAGGTTGGGGGGAGGGGAGGGGCAGATGCCTCTGCCCTTGCTCCCCTCCCACGGCTGGGTAATCCATTTAGGTGCCTGGAGCAGGCAGCTCTGGGTCTAAGCCTACTTCCTGCCCTTGAGGGGCTGAGGAAGATGAATGGGAAGCCTAGGGAAGGCTGAGGCAGTTTCCCTGCCCCCAATCCAGTGACGTCTTAGTCCTCCCCGGCTCCCCTTTGCTTTTGCTGTGTCCCCGTTGCCCTACTTGCCTTGTTTCTGCAGCAGCATCTTTCAGTAATTTCAGGGGCAGTAGGCATGGGCTGTATCCCCTCTGTGTACATGGCGAGAGGTCATCATTGACCCCACTGAGCTGCCCCCCCTCCCTCCTTAGCCTCTGTTCTGTGGCCATGGGCAGTTGGTTGACAGCTGGTCAGCTGTGGATGCTGGCCTTGGCCAAGGGCTGGCCCTGCCCCAGCCTAAGCCTCATGGGACTGGAGTTGCTTAGCGCTCTTGCTGTTCTCTGCCCCGCGGGCTTTGGTTGGGAGGTCTTCCCCAGTGGAAGCCAGAGCAGCACCACTGGCATCCTGGCCGAGTCTGGGAAAGTAGCCTCCCCTGTTGGCCCAGCTGCAGCCCCCTCCCAGGAAGCCCGATGACTTGACCCACACCAGTCTCTCCCCTCTGTCCTCCGGAGGCTCAGAGTCTGCGTTGCAGCCTGGGTTCCACTGACCTGGCTATCTCCTCGGCATCTTCAGGTGGCCCTCAGGACCATGTCTAACTCGCAGTGGCAGTGGTCTCATAGGCACCCAGCCCTTGGCCCCACCTCGCCTTGGTCAAATCCATGAGTAAAGGGGCAATTCCAGTGGTCCTGTTGCCACGGCAGGGTATTTCCTGAGCAGGGACAAGCAGGCCCTTGGGTGGAGGGCCTAGGTTGTATCTGCATAGGAAGAAGGGCCCCCATCTCTCCTCTTCTTTTCCGCACCCTCGATTTCCCCCCATGTCTTCTCTGCCCAGTCGTCCACCAGGATTCAGAGGGGGACGGTGAGGTGTGGGAGAGCTTGCCCGCTGGTGCCTGTGGAGCCAGCTCTCCTGTCCCCCAGCTCAGTGACTCCCCGCTGGGCCCTGGCATTGCGCATTGACACGGCAGCATCCACCACTGGTCTGGGTGCTCCCTGGGGCTTGGGCAGATCCGTGTGGGCACCCAGCATTCACCTGGCCCCAGCAGGTGCAGAGTGACTGTTACGAAAAAACAAGGGCGTTTGGGGGCTTGGCTTGGGAGCCCTGACGCAGGCTCTGGGTGAGCTGATTTGTCCCATGTGTGCTCCTTGGCCTTCCCTCATTCAGCGAATCCCGCCTGTGCCTGGACCTGTGCTGTGTGCCTGGGCCTGGGCTGAGCCCAGGGTGCTGTGGGGAGCAGGGTGCACGTGGCTCTGGCCGGCGTGGAGCTTACTGTCGTAAGGTCCTGAGGCCTCTGGCCTTGGTGTGAGGAGGGTGTGAGACCACAGCGGAGGGCTTCCTGGGGTCCGCCAGCCCAGCATGGCACTGTCACTGCTCACCTCCAAGCCCCCAGCTGCCCCCAGGGTGCTCGGGTGCAGAGCATGTGCCTGGAGTTTGGACCCAGGTACCATGAGGTCATCTTCCCGTCGCGTTTGGCTTGTCGGATCCTCTATAAATGACTCTGTCCATTTTTGGGCCTCAGTAGGTGGCTGAGCAGAGCCAAGTTGGGGTGGAGCCTGGGTCAGATGACAGAGAAGATTAGGGCTTGGTGGGCTGGGTCCCTGGGGTGATGGGACGGTTGGGGAGAAGGGACAGGTGAGGTGGGGGTATGCTCTGGCCTGCTTGCCCCGAGGTCCACTGCCCAGAAGTCCTCACGGGGCGTGTGTGAGAGAGGCCCGCCTGTGCTGGTGGAGCTGGGCCTGCGGAGGGTGCAGGGGAGGAAGCTATGCCCACTGTCTGCCCCCGCCTCCCCCGCCACTGGCCTGGCGCTGCTGGGAGTGGGGAGGCCTGGCCCCGAGGGGCAGGGCCTGGGGCTGTCCGTGCACGGAATAGCACTGGTGTGTCACAGCAGATGCTCCCTAGAGGGAAGGTGCAGTGGCAGTTATTTATAGGACCCCGACACATGGCCATGATGGGACCACGCTCATCTGGGTGGTCAAGGCCTCCTGTGACATAGCCACGGAGGCCTCCTCAGTAGGAGCCAGGCCTTTGCAACCAGTTCTTATGCTCACGGTGGCCTTGAGAGTAGCCACGCCACACAGAGGGCAGGGGGCAGGGAGCCCGCCGGGTCTGCTGGACGGCCTCTGAGGCCCCAGGCCCTGGTCAGCAGTGGCTGTCCTCGGCCCCGACTTTCCACTGTCCTCCCCATCGGGTTGTCTCTCTCGCCCCTGAGTGTCCTCTCTCTCGCCCCCTCCCATGTTGGCTTTGCCTCCGTCACTCTGTACCTCCCTGCGCTGTGTCTCTTTCCTCTGATCTTGCACAAGCATTTCTGCACCTCTCCAGGCTCGGATCAGCTTCTCCCTGAACCCGAGTTATTTATGTAGATGGTTCATCTTGCCGGCACTGGAGAGAAGGCTCCTGAGCTAGGTGTCATCTCTAGGTTGGGTGTTTCTGGGGGCTCGGTGGACGTTTGGCTGAGGCCTGTGGGTGTGGGGAGGTTGCAAGCGTGACCTCCAAACTTCCTGGGCCCCGGTGGGCCGGGGTGGGCTGAGCCTCACCCCACTCCATCGAGTCTGCTGGCTCATGGCAGGGCCCAAAGCAGGCAGAGGCTGTTTTGCCCAGGTCGGCTCACTGGGCTGTCTGGGGCCTGGGGAAGGTGTTCCCTGGGGGGTGGGGGGGACAGCTGTGGGTCAGGGTGCCTGTGGAGTGGGGGAGTGAGCCGCTGGTCACCCAGGGAAGGGGCGGGGTGTGTCGGGAGCGGAGAGGGGTGCCTGGGCCGTAGATTTGGGTTGGATGTGATCAAATCTTGAATGCCGGTGGCATCTGTGGATCCTGTGGACTCTCAGAGAGGCTGAGGCCTCAACTCTTCACCTCCTCCTTCGCAGATGACCTCGCCGTGTCCCCTTCTCACCTTCGCTCTCTGGCATTGCCCAGGCCCTTGCGCCTGGATGAGGCGATCTCCGCCCAGCTCGCCCCTCACCAAGTTGTGCTTCTGTCCCCCGCTTTCTGCCTTAGCCCGGCCTTGCCTGGGTTTTTTGCCATGAGGTTCTAGAATCCCTGGGTCCTACCCAGGGGCGTGTCAGAGACAGAGCACGGGCATGGGCTCAGCAAGCAGCGGGTGGGGATCCTGGGTTCCCCTGACCAACCGGGACCTTGGGCAGATGGTACGACCCTCCTGAGCCCAGTTTCTTCATTTGTGAAGTGGGGCTGATACTGGTTCCCCTTTACATGCCCGTTGTGGAGAGTAGGGCCTCGGACAGTTGCCTGTCACACAGCAAGTGCTCAGTGGGCAGAGCCGCATGATGACCCAGAGACCTCCCTCCCCGCCAGGCCCTCGTCCCAGCCCTTCTCCCTGGAGTGTCCATTACAGGCCTCTGCAGACAGCTAATCCCTGCTGAGCTCTTGAAGGATCAGGGTTTGTAATGTTGTCCCAGCCCA